GCTGCTGCGTCTGCTGCTGCTGCTGCGGCTGCTGCTGCTGCTGCTGCTGCTGCGGCTGCTGCTGCTGCCAGTCTTGAAAAAGAAACAAAAAGGTTGACGGCGACGCTTTCCATTCTTGTCCCACTTCCTTCAACAAATGAATAATTAACTAATTAATTAATTAATCAATTAATGAGTTAATTAATTAATCAATTATTCATTTAATTAACTATTCATTTATTGCCTCTTGCTGCTGCTGCTCGTCTGCTGCTGTCTTCTGCAGACAGCAGACAGCAGCAGCAACAAGTGTGCATTTTAATTTCAAATTGTCTTTTACACCAAATAACACAAATTAAAAATTAAAAAGATGAAATATATCCTTTCCATTCACCATAAAAGACCCAACTGGCTCGAGGGGCCCCCCCTGGGGGCCCCTGGGGGCCCCTGGGGGCCCCTGGGGGCCCCCGAGGCCCCTGAGGGCCCCCCGGGGCCCCCCGGGAGCCCCCGGGGCCCCCCGGGGCCCCCGGGGCCCCCCAGGGGCCCCAGAGGCCTCGTTAGGGCCGAAATGAAGAGGCGGAGAGGGAGGAGCTGGAGTTTGGGGAAGAGGAGTGGAGGGAAGAGAGCAAAGGAAAGAAGAAAAGAGTCAAGGCCAGTAATAGACGCAAGTGGTGGTGCGGGGGTAACAGGGGGTGACTGCGCTGATAATGCGGGTGCGGGTGACTGCGGGGCAGTCGAGAACTACTGCAGACTCGAGCCTGTGGGAGTGACACAAGGGGGGCAAAGATTTGGTTCTTTTGCGGGTTCTTTTGCGGCTGCAGCAGCAGCTGCAGCTGCAGCTGTAGTGGCTGCAGCAGGGGCAGTACCAGTACTCGCGAACCACCCGCACGCTGCTGCTGCCCGCCCCGTACGTGTCCACGTACACCGGCACCGTCGCGTACATCTCCGCCGCCAAAAAGCGCCTCTAAATGCAAAATAAAGTTTATTTCCGACTCAAATTGCAAAAAAAAAGCGAAAAAACACCCCAAAAATCGACTCCCAGCTCCCCGTACACCCCGGCGCCCCAGCAGGCCGCCGCCGCACGCGCTCGCTGCTGCTGCTGCTGCTGCGCCGGCCCCAGCGCCCAGCGCGCCGCCTTCTCCGCGCAGAGCCGCAATTAAAACTCTTTTAAATGCTAATTGATTTTTTAAGATTCAAAAACGACAAAAAATAGATTTTAAACGCAGAAATGGCCGCCCGAAGTGGCACCCCGGCTCGCGCCAGTGTCGATACACCCCAGACATCGCCGAGTGCTCGCAGAGTCACCTGCGGCTTCCTCAGCTGAAACGCCACTAAATAGTTCATTTTAATTCAATTTAATGAATTAAATTATTTTTTTTCTTCAGTTTCATAACTGGAAACCTTTTTGCGCTTTTCCAGAGGCCCAAAAAGGGCAAATCGACGCTGCCGTGATTCGGGCGCTGCGGTGTACGTACACCTCGCGCGACACCTCAGTTCGAAGAGAAGTTCAAATGCAAATCATAAATGTTTTTGCCACTTAATTTGTTTCTTCATTTCTTTATTTCTTTATTTCTTTAATATTTCTTTATTATTTCCTTATTTGCTGCTGCATTTGAGCCCTCAGCGCAGCAGCGGTGCTGTTTGGCGTGGCGGCTCACTGCCGCCACTGCAGCTTTTGAAGTACTTCAATAGAACACAAAGAGCAATAAAACTAGCAACAATATAAATAATAACAATAATAATAATAATATTATTATTATTATTATTTCGATGATATAATAATAATAGTAAGAGTAAAGACAGTGGCAAGAATAATAGTGGTAGCACGGCGACAACTCAAACCTAACTTGTCAGAAGCAAGCTTGTTTGAGTTGCTGCTGCTGCTGCTGTTGCTGCTGCTGCTGGGGGAGTTTCGTCTTCCTTTGAAGCTGTGGATGCGGGGCTGCAGCAGGAGCAGCTGCTCAGGCGGGTGCAGCAGCAGCAGCAGCAACACGAAGCGTCTCCGCCCCAGCAGCAGCAGCCGGCGGCGGCGTCGCGTGCGTCCCAGCTGCCCGCAGCGCGCCCGGGCCCCGCCGCTGCTGCTGCTGCTGCTGCTGCGCGCCCGCCGCTGCAGCAGCAGCAGCGGGAGCAGCAAGCATGTGTCTGGCGATGTGCTGCAGAATGGGCGCAGCTTCTTTGCGCATTTTTCTTTGTTCTGTTTCTGTTACTACGCAAGGGGCCCCCTTAAGAATGCCATGGGGGGCCAGAAAAAGGGGATTTTGATTAATAAAAACCAAAAACCTTTCCAAGTTCTTGATGTGGTTGAAGGCCTCCACTTGCTGCTGCACCAGCAGCAGCTCCACGCTGCTGCGCCGCCGCCAGCGCCCCAGGCCCAGCCGCCAGCCCCCGCTGCTGCTGCTGCTGCTGCTGTTGCTGCTGTTGCTGCTGCTTACGGTGCTCACGGCCGTGCACGCCCCGCTGCTGCTGCTCCGCGACAGCCGCCACCGCTGCTGCTGCTGCTGCTGCTGCTGCAGCGGCGGCAGCAGGCTCGCGGCGTTGATGCTGCTGCTGCTGAGGAAGATGGGGTGCATCGGCTGCTGCGTTGCTGCTGCTGCTTCCGCCAGCCCCTCCAGATTTGCTGCTGTTGCTAAAGCAGAGTTCGCACTTACAATCCAGTCTGTAGATAAGATTCCGTACAGCAGCACCTTTTCGAAGCGGTTCAGCTGCAGCAACTCCTGCTGCTCCTGCTGCTGCTGCAGCAGCAGCTGCTGCTCCTCCTCCTGCTGGTGGTGGTGGTGCTTGTGGTGCTGGTGGTGATGGTGGTGCTGCTGCAGCAGCTGGTCGTGCTCCTGCGGAGGGGGCTGCTGCTGCTGCTGCTGCTGCTGCTGCTGCTGCTGCTGCTGCTGCTGCTGGTGCAGCTGCTGGAGGAGGTGCTGCTGCTGGTGGAGGTGCTGCAGCTGCTGCTGCTGCTGCTGCTGCTGGACGTCGTAGGGCAGCGTGAGGTGGCTGCGGCCGGCCTTTTCTTCTGCTGCTAGTGCAGCAAGAAGGCCCCCGTCCTTCTGCAGCAGCAGCTCCAGCGCGAAGTCGGAAGCAGGAAAAACAGCAGCAGCAGCAACAGTAGAAGGCAAAGATCTGTACAGCAGCGAAGTTCGAAAAGCCCCCATGTGGGGTGCTGCTAAGGTGCACAGACACCGCAGCTGCAGCCGCGGGTGCTGCAGACACCGCAGCAGCAGCTCGAAGTCCTTCGCCCCTGCTGCTGCTGCGGGGGCTGCTGCTGCTGCTGCTGCTGCTGCTGCTGCGGGGTCCCCGGGCTCCGCGGCGGCGGCTGCTGCTGCTGCTGCTGCGGCTGCTGCTTTGGCCCTGCTGCGGCGGGAGCGCAGCAAGCTGCGGGGCGCGGAAAGCAGCAGCAGCTGCTGCAGGCGGCGCAGCAGCAGCAGCCGCCACAGCAAACCCCCCAAAGAGTGGCCCACTGCGAAAAGTCGAATGGAGTCAAAAGCAGCAAGAAGTGCTTCCATTTCCTGCGACAGCAGCGGGACTATTTGCTGCAGACAAGCAGCAAACGACTGCAGCGTTGCTGCGCGGTAGGAGTACACCAGAAACAGCAAGCTGCTCGGCTCCTCCTCCCCTGCTGCTGCTGCTGCTGCTGCTGCTGCTGCTGCTGCTGCTGCTGCTGGGGGTGGGGCGCCGGGGGGCGAGGGCGGGGCCGCTGCGCCCGCGGCAGCTCCTGCTGCGGCTGCTGCTGGAGTTGCTGTGGGCTCCGTCGCTTCTTTTGCTGCTGCTGCTGCTGGACTTGCTGCTGCTGCTGCTGCTGCTGCTGCGGGGGGCGAGGTGGGGGCGGGAGCAGCAGCGCTGCTGTCGCCTGTCTCTTCGCAGCTGCCCTCGGCGTTGCTTTCGGCTGCTGCTGCTGCTTCTGCTGCTTCTGCTGCTGCTGCTTCTGCAGCAGCAGCAGCAGCAGCATTAATGGTCTTCAGTCTGCTGCCAATGGAATATCCCTCGAGAATTGTGGCAATCAAATTTGCAAAGTTTTCAACAACTTCTGTCTGCAGCAAAGAGGGCGGAGACATTCCGTGCAGGATCACGTACAAGTGCAGCACGCGCTTGCTGCTGCTGCTGCTGCTGCTGTTGGGGCTGCTGCTTCCGGATTTGCTGTTTGCAGCGTTGCTGCCTTTGTCGTCTTGAGCTGCAGCAGCAGCAGCAGCAGCAGGAGCCGGCGGTTCGTCGTTCGCTGGAGCCTCTGCCTGGTCTGCAGCAGCAGCAGCTGCGTGTGCCGCTGCTGCTTCTGCTGCTGCTGCTTCTGCTGCTGCTGCTTCTGCTGCTGCTGCTGCTGCTGCCTGGGCGAGCCAGTCCTGTCTGCTGCTGCAGCGCCACTGGGCGACAGTGGTGGCCGTGAGGGTCTTGGAGTGTACATCCAGGCAAACGGCCCACCCGAGTTTGTTTTTGTTTTTATTTTTATTTATTTTAATTTCTTTTTTGTTTATTTTATTCATTTTATTTAATTTATTTAATTTATTCAACTCATTTTCCCAAAGTGTGGGGCCCCGCTTCAAGTACAAAGGGATGCAGATACAGTCCGCGCTGCTGCTGCCCAGCACGAAGCGCTGTCTGTACACCCAAAAGGCCGCGCCCTCCTCCACCTCGCGCCCGCAGACGTCACCCCACAAGCGATCCCGGGATCGATCCCGGGATCGATCC